GGCGAGGGAGGGAGGAGAGGCAGAGACCTGGGAAGCCCAGAAACCAGGAGGCGGGAGTGCATGCTGCGTAGGCGAGGCAGGGAGGGGTGACCAAGGCGGTGGTGCCACAGGAGAGTGTCGTGCGACAGCCGGCGACACTCACACTGTGTAGCTACCTGAGCAGACGCGTGCAACTGGGGAGACAAAGGGGCGGAGTGTGACGCAGTGGTGAGGGTGTACAGACTGGACCCCGGCGCACGAGCGAACGTGGCCAGGTGGCAACCAGTCTGGGAGCACGTGCAAATCGCCACACGCTGCCGGCCAGGGGTGAAGGTGTCAACCCCCGCATCCTGGAGGACAGCGTTACTCACCAAGTTCGTAGAGAACGAGGGGAGGTGGAGACCAGACAGCTCACCAGACGGGACCGCCGGACACGGAAGCACAGTGGAAGACCGTGCAAGCACTGGGCCCCCAGAGGGGTCAGCCAGTGAGACAGGAACAGGTGCAGGGAGGGGAGTGACTGTGGTACTGTCGCGAAAGAAACAGCGGGAAGCACCAGAGTCAAGTGTAAAGGTGTGCAAAGCATGTGCAGGCGCAGTACCAAGGGGAGCAGACTCACAAGCACCTAGTGCTGCAGGGGCTATACCAGGGGTTATACCAGGATCCGGCGGCACACACAAGTAGCAGTCACCCTCAGCACTAACAGACAAGGCATACATAGCAGCAAGAATTGCCTCATAGTCAAGATCAAAGATAGGTACATCACGCCTAAGTAAGTCTGCCCAGTTGGGGAACTCAGTAGCATCAGGAAACTTGGCGCGCCAGGCGTCGCTAAGCCGAGCGAAGCAGCGCTGCTCAGTATGAAAACCTGTGCACTGGCGACCAGCGCGGGGACCTGTGCGGATGATATAGGGGCAGCGACCAGGACCCCCAGAAGCCCCACGCCCGGCATACCAGTCAAGAAGCTGCTGGGAAGTGGGGGTCTGGCGCTGACGCTGATGCTGCTGCTGCTGCTGTGGCTGCTGCTGCTGCTGCGGCTGCTGCTGGCCCTGACCACCACTGCCACCACTGCTCCCTCCTCCCCCACCACCGCTGCTGCCGCCTCCACCGCTCCCAGTGCCTCCGCCGCCCCCACCACCACCTCCACCGCCTCCACCCCCACGACCACCCCCACCACCGCCTCCACCTCCACCTCTACCACCTCCACCACCTCCACCACCTCCACCCCCACCGCCCCTGCCACCCCTGCCGCCCCTGCCGCTGCGACGCTTCCCACTGGGAGCGGAAGCAGCTCCGACCCCCTCAGCACCAAGGTAGTCGTGAGCAGCAGCTGCGGAGGCGTAGGAGGGGGTGAGAGGGGAGGGGGAGCACCCCTCAAAGAGGGGAGAGCGAGGAGTGCCACGAGCAGCACCTACAGCGAGGATGTTCTTCTCTGCTGCGAGGAGGTGCTTCTCGAAGTCGTCTACAGTGAGAGTGGTGGGGTCTAGCGCTAGGAAGTGGTCCCTGACAGAGCTAAGAGTGTCAGGGAGGCGGGTAACGAGGAAATAGAGAGTGAAGTACATCGGGGGGGGTTTGCGGCGCAGAACTCGGCTGAAAGGGCGGCACGAAAGCGAGAGTCAGTAGCGCGCAGGTGAGAAACTAGGTCCTCAGCAGTGGTGAACGAGGAAAGATCGGGGAACAGGTACGGTAGCATGAGTCGACCTATGGCTGCAGTGGCCGGGGAGGAGTAGCGCGCAACTACAACGTCATACAGTGTCTGAGCAGTTCTGTGCTGGCTGAAATGCGCTCGCTCAGTAATCGGCAGGTGGTTCCTAATAGCTAGGCGTGCAGCAGCATCACGAGTCTGTTACTGGGAGCGTTCTAGAGCAGGAGCATCAGCAGCAGGAACAACGGCAGTGCCAGAGACGTAATCAAACAGGGAAACGCCATCTTTGGCATCAGTCAGAAGGAACAGCTGGAGATCGTCTAACCATACAGTGAACTCGATGGGACGACCGTCAGGCTCGAACGCTAGAACGTTAGGCGTCGCCATATTGGCTTAAGACAGGAGGCAGCAGGCAGCAGGCAGAGGCAGCAGGCACCAAGTAGGAGGCAGGAGGCAGAGGCAGGAGGCAGGGGCAGCAAGCAGCAGGCAGGCAGCAGGCAAGCTGCAGGCAGGCGGCAGCAGGCAGCAAGCAGGCAGGCGGCAGGCAGGCGGCAGCAGGCAGCAAGTAGCAGGCAGGCAGCAGGCAGGCAGCAGGCAGGTTGCAGGCAGGCGGCAGCAGGCAGGCAGGCTGCAGGCAGGCGGCAGCAGGCAGCAAGCAGGCAGGCAGGCAGGCTGCAGGCAGTAGGCAGGCAAGCGGCAGCAGGCAGGCAGAAGGCAGGCTGCAGACAGGCGGTAGGCAGGCGGCAAGCAGGCAGGCAGGCAGGCTGTAGGCAGCAAGCAGCAGGCAGGCAGCAGGCAGGCAGCAGGCAGGCTGCAGGCAGGCGGCAGCAGGCAGCAAGCAGGCAGGTGGCAGCAGGCAGCAAGCAGGCAGGCAGGTAGGCGGCAGCAGGCAGGCAGGCAGGCGGCAGCAAGCAGGCAGGCGGCAGCAGGCAGGCAGCAAGCAGGCAGGCGGCAGCAGGCAGGCAGGCGGCAGGCAGGCAGCAAGCAGGCAGGCAGGCAGGCTGCAGGCAGTAGGCAGGCAGGTGGCAGCAGGCAGGCAGAAGGCAGGCGGCAGGCAGGCGGCAAGCAGGCAGGCAGGCAGGTTGTAGGCAGCAAGCAGCAGGCAGGCAGCAGGCAGGCAGCAGGCAGGCTGCAGGCAGGCGGCAGCAGGCAGCAAGCAGGCAGGCGGCAGCAGGCAGGAAGCAGGCAGCAAGCAGCAGGCAGGCGGCAGGCAGGAGCGGCAGGCAGCAGGCAGCAGGCAGGCGGCAGGTAGCAGGCAGCAGGCAGGAGCGGCCTGAGGGCTGCGTGTGGCGGCTTGCTGCACGAGGCTGCAGGCTGCGCGTGGCTACGAGCAGCGCGCGCGGCCGCAGGCTACGTGCGGCGACGGACTGCACGAGCTGCGGGCTGCTTGCAGCTGCGGGCTGTGCGTGGCTACAGCGTGCGCGGCTGCATTCTACGTGCGGCTGCGGGCTGCGCGGGGCGACGGGCCGCACGTGCGCGGCTGCGGGCTGGTCGCTAAGCTACGGGCTACGCTGGGCGACGGGCCGCGCTGGCGTGGCGCTGGCGTGTTTCGCACGGGCGGCTGGCGCACAGGCGGGGCCGAAACGGGCTACGCGGGCTGCTGAGACGGCGCACGTGGGAAAAAAAAGGACCGCCCAAGGCGCGCGCGGGCAGCCGAGGCGCGCGTAGGCACTAGGCAAGACAGGCAATCGTGGTGGGCCCTAATCGTAGGTCCTAAGGACCTATGCTCTATACCATGTTAGAGTCTTACGGCAAAATTGGGTGTCGACTATCGAGGGGAAAGATACAAAGGAAAAAAACCTAAGGGGTTGTACCCCACAGTAAGTACCTCACTAAGCCTAACCAAACTATAACAGATATACACATATGTTTGACACTGGCGCGCTACGTGATAGAAATGGCAGTGGGACTGGTCTGGCAAGGCATCAATTTCCTGTGCGCTGGCAAAAAAATATGCTAACCTGACGAATAGGACGCAAAGGCGGCCCGCGGACCAGAAATCTCAATGTTGAGCTTGTGGACCAAATCGACAAGTGAAACTGTGGGCCAGTGGGCCGTTTTGTCTGCTCGTCACCTGTGTCTGAATCCTCGGTAAGGAAGATTCGATAACAGGGTAATGGAAATCGCACTCTGTTCAGAAAGGGTAATCGAAATTTGGATCAGGGTATAATATTTCATAGCCTGTTTGGTCTAGGGTAAAAAATCTCATACCCGGATTCTGAAAGGGTAACTGTAAAAAAATGGCAGCTCATCAGGGAAATCAGGGTAAAATACCCTGATAATTTGGGGCCTGAAGGGTACTGTAGTATATGAATTTTATTTTCATAATTTATTTAGAATTAATAAATATGAAAATAAAATTTGGCAAAATCGATCGTTAAAGGTTGCTTCGCATCCCAAAAACTGGAAGTTCAGTATGTCCTTAAAGAAAAAAGCTGATCAATCAGCCCCACTATAGAAAGAAGGCTGAATGTTTCCTATAGGCCAACACACGTTGTATAGATTTAGGGCATGTTCCTACGCACGTATCAGGCAAACCTCTTGTCAGCCTTGCCTGGTAAAAATAGCGAGAGTTTTTGGGTTTAGGGATTTTTCAGTGTGTTTTGACGCGAGCTTGATAAGAGGTTGGCCTGATAAGGGGCCGTAGGAACAAGCCCTTAGCGTGCGACAACAATGCGTGAGACGAGCCGGAAAGATGCCATTTCCCGGCGGTGCGTTGGCTTGGCGGGGAATCTGGCAAATTTGGCGCAAATTCGGCGTGAATGACGGTGTGACGGTGGAACGGGCGAACCTAGACATCCGAAAACCTCGGCACATACACGAATCTGCACTACTGGGATTTCAGCCCACACCCCCGCTACAAAGCTGATCAGACAGTGTACACCCTTAGAAAAAGCTGAAATATCAGCCCATACAAAGAAAAATAAGCTGAAAAATCAGCCTGTGCACTAAAAAAAGAGCTGACAAATCAGCCCCACTAAATCCCCAGCCCTGAAAACCTTATATTTTTACCCCTAATCAGCCTTTTTTTGCTGACTTCTGAGGCCCTGGTGGGAAACTCAGCAATAGGGCAACAGGAAGGTACAGGCACTACAGCAGCAGGGGCACGGCACTGGCTGGGGCACAGCACAAGCATAGGAATCTGTTACACCTGTGCTGGTAACCCTAGCTGCCTGGGACGCCCCAGGTGACCCCTCGCTGCCCCACTGTGCGTCCTAGGCACCCTGACCGTCAACCTGCTGCTTGCAGGTGTCTGGTAGCTGTTTTCCCAGCAACACTGGCAATTCCGTCCTCTTGGTGACTTAGGAAAAGAAAAAAAAAAAAAAAAAAAACACCGTAGCTGTCTACACACTGCCGTCAAACTGCGGTCACACTATCAAGCTGCTGCCTGCAGCTGGCCAGAAGCCGCCGACTGCTCTCGCAGGAGCACAAGCAGTTCCTTCGCCTTGTCCCCTGCAGAACCCGTTGCCTCGCGCGTAACCCTATGCAACGCAGGCACGACCCCTTCGCGACCAATCACCTTCCTCGCCTCCTCGTCGTGCCTCGCCAGCAGCAGCAGCGCGCTTACAGCTTCCTGCCTAGCTTTCTGCGAAGTTGTTAAATCTAACACGTCCGCGATTACCTCCAACCCTCCGTTACCGTTCGCGGATTTCGCCTCCTTAATCGCACGCCTGCCTGTCGAGGAACAAGCGATGAACGAAACTAATGCCATCGCTCGATTTTCCAGATCCTCATTCGATTCCTGAACCATATTCAACAATATACTCAGCCCGCCGGTGTTTAAAAACTCCTCTAGCAACTCCCGGTGGTGGTCGCCGCCACTAAGCAAAGCGAGAACTGCCAACACCGCGTCAATCTTCCCCCGCGTGCTGCCCGAAAGGAAAATTTCAACCAAGGCAGGGATGGCTCCGGCTTTCCCAATTCGCAGCTTGATTTCTGCTAGCTGTTCCCGAGCCTTTAGAACAGCTGTTTCGGCGGAAGGTGTGGATGATTGCAGGGGGGTAGAATCTCGTTTACCCTGCTCCGAACCAGTCCCATCTGCCATAGAATCCGTCCCCCCGGTTGTAGCTTCTGTCGGCCCGGCTGTGGTCACCCCTTCTGTAGCATCCGCCGCCCAGGTACCATCCGTAGCCCCAGCTGTATTCCCTGTCCTGGCTGTAGCAGCTGCTGGCTCTCCTGCCGTAACAGCCTCTGTCGGCCCTGCTGCTGCTTCTGCTGCTCCGGCTGTAGAGCTAATAACCCCTGCTGCGGCTTGCGCTGCACCCTCAGGCTGGCTGGGACTGTTGCCGGCACCTGGAAAAACACCTGAGAATTCCCTTGAATCGTAGGAGGGGCGCAGAAGCGCGGTAGACGCTGTAGGGGACTTTAAAGCTGGGGAAGGGGGGAGGGACGGGGTGTGAGGTGATGACCTGGCGGATACTGATGGTGACATGGACACAGCGCCAACTGACGTGGATCGGCCCCGGGTCGGGCGCGACGGCGACGGCCCCCTTGATGCCCTTCCTCCTTTCCCGCCGCCATTTCCGCCGCTACTGACGGTCTGGATGCCCCAAGCAAGGCAGAACAGCGCAGCCGCTGCGTTTTCCCGAGCCGCTGATTTCTCCGCCCGAAGCGACTTAACCAGCGCCTCCAGCCCGCCCTCCGCGCCGCTAACGATCGCGTCGCGACCGCCTTCCTCGCGACACACGTTGTACATAACGGTCACCGCGTGCTCTACCGTGTCGCCGTCAGGCGACTCGGCGACGAGATTAATCAGGAACTGGACCCCACCTGCTTGAATCAACCGCTTCTTATTCTCCGGGGTCGCCTTAACCGCCGCGCGCACCGCCTTCACCGCGTCGCGGATCGCGGTGACGTCCGCTTGACCGATTGCCGCAATTAGCGGGCCGAGACGGAGGGGCTCGACCGGGGCAGCGGGTTGAGCGGCGCGCTGCGGGGAAGGGGAGCGCGCGTAACGGCCGGAGAAGCTTCCGCTTCCGCCAGGCCCCCTGCGGGGAGGTCGGCGGCCAGGGGTGCTGCTTGCGACGGCGAGCGGGCAGAAAGCGTACATGTCAGCGTTGCTCACGGCGCTCTTCACGCCGTAGCTTTCAGGACTGCGCTCGAGCGACGCGGAGCGCGGTCCGGAGGAGGAGAGGGGAGGATTAGCCGACGTGAAAGTGTGAGCGTGAGCGTGAATGCCGGTCGGAATTCCTATTGAGTCGTCGCGGCGCGAGAACTCATTGCGACGCGATGGCTCGAACCGCGCAGAGAGAGGTGACACGGGAACGGGCGACGCGGCGAGAGGCGACACGGGCCCGTCCACATGACCGTTGAAACTACGCGAACGAACCTGCATCCCGCTTTGATTTTCTCCCACCGCTGTAACCGCGTCCGCGCCCTTGCGCGAATCGGCGCCGCGATTCCCGTTGGCAATGACGCCGCTAGAGCCGCCGCTGCTGCTGCTCCCGCTTGTGATGTTAATTTCCGCGCTGACGTTGCGGCTCCCACTGCTGCTGCTGCTGCCGCTGGCGGGGCCAGTAGTGTCCGTCGTGCTGCGTCTAACGTTGGCAGCGGGGAAAGGGCGCAGGTTCGGCGTTGTTTTAGAGAGCGGGGAGAGAGGCAAGGGGGAAGCGGAGGGGGAAGCTGAGGGGGACCGGGTGGGGGAGGGGGAAGGGGACGCGGAGGGGGACGGGGAAGGGGAGAGCGAGCCGCGGCGTGAGGAAGCGGCGAGGGACGCGGAGAGAGGGGAGAAGAGCGGCGGGATGCACGACGGCGTGGTGGTAGACGGCGGCGTGCGCGAGAACGACGCGTTGTACGCGCTTCGAAGCGACGCGAGGTTCTCCTGGCTGTTGTTATGGCGGTGCGAAGCGAACGACGTTTTCGGCGGCAGACGCGAGGCGAACACGGACAGCGTGCACGCGACCTGGCCTGTGGGAGAGTACGGTTCGTCGTCGTCGTCTTCCGCGTTTGGCGGCGGAGGAGCCGCGGAGGATGTCGAGGCTTTGATCATAGAGAGCATGATGCCGACGGGGCCGGAAAACGGCGCGCGACGGCGGAAAGGCGACGCGCTTCTCGCGCGGGAGGAGCGAATTTTCGATTCGACGGTGCTGCGGCTCCGACTTTCTGTTCGCCCAGTCCGCGCCACAGATGCCGCCGCCGATTGCGCAGCAGCTCGCGATTCCGACGAGGAATTCGATCGACGCAGGACTCTTGACGGCGACGCGGAGCGCAGAACGCTCGACCACGAGCGTCCTTCTCTTCTCGAAGACGATTCGTCGCGAGAAAGACTCGTCATCGCCCATTCCGCGTCCTGACCGCCGTCGCTAGCCGCATCGTCTTCGTCGCAGTCGTCATCCGTCGCATCTTCGAAAATGTCGTCGCGAGGAACCATTGGCGCGCTGTGCAGGCCCCGGCTTCCGCACGGCAGCGTTCGGCTGCGACGAGACTCCGGCTGCGGCGTCTGCGATGTAACAGTTACCGCATTGGTACTCAACGAAACCGTTTCGCGAAACGACGAGCTGGTTGAAAACGAGAACTCGTTCCCCCCGGCGCGGTCCAAAGCGGTCCTTTCGCTGCCACACCGGCCCAACTCGCGGCCACTCCGTTCCGCCGCACCCCCGCTCCCGCTCCGTTCTTCCGCTCCGCCACCGCTTTGCACTTCCACATCCCCCTCCCAATCCCGCGAATCCCGCTCCGCGTCGAGCGTCCGCACTTGAAACATGCCCCGCGATCGACCGTTAAATGACTGCGTTGGACGGGACCCGGGAGTCAGGGCCTTAGCAAGCGGCGGCCGCGGCGCCGGATTTTTCTGCGCATCTCGCGAACCAGTGGTTGTGTTGATCGGGGAGCGGTAAAACTCGGTGATGGCTGCGGAGGCGTTCCAGTTGCGTTCGTCGAGGGATGAAGACGAGAGGGACGGTGGTATGAAGGGAGCCGTGCTCTTGGGTGAAGAGAGCGCCATGGTTTGGAAAGTGTAAAAGACTCTAATTTCGGGCTGAAGTCTTAGGAAACTAGTGCTCGGTCTATAGGTTCGCTCTCAGAAAGTGACTATGCATGAAACGAGTGACTCAAGCAAAGCAGGGAGGTGGTGCTCGAGAATGTTCTATGGCAGGTCTTTTGTTCGTGCTGATATGTCTTCACAGATTTTGTCACAGTTTGTCTCTGTAGATAATGCTGAGCTAAAATCAAACAATTGAGCTGCAGAGCTGTTTGTCGGTATGGAGTATGGATGGCATTCGTGAGTGCCCGAGTGGGGTCGACGAGTCGACTCGAATCGAGATTTGAGGGAGAGTGGAAAGGAGAGAGTGGAGAGAGTGGAGGAGAGAGTGGAGGAGAGGAAGGACAAGACAACTGGAATCTGTCAGTTGGACATGGCGAGCATTGCGGCGCTGTCAACAGTTTGCTGGAAGCGCACGAATTCTAATCTCCCGCTGTAACCTTGTCGAATAGCAAACAACGCGGTTGACCTTTGATTGGGTTCGACAGGCTCTTCTGCTTCTCAGTTGTCGGCTGGCTGGCAGATGGGGATTGGACTGGGGGCAGAAAATGTGTTTGAGACACGGAGGAAGATATTTCTAGTATTTTTTCTGGGTTTAGCCCCTTAAGTTGGAGATTGGCCTCTACATTTGGTAATCCAGAACTTGGTTCTGTGTGATGCTTAGGTTACTGTAATACACTTTCACGAAGAATTATATGGTTCTAGCTCCTACGAGGAGGAGATTTGCTTCTGAGAAAAAGGGTGGAGGCATTATATGGAGAAAGTACCCCATCCTCCAGTCAAGTCTAGACAGCAACCTTCTGAAATATGTATTCACCCAAATTGCAAAGCAGTATGGAAAGGCTGCAGCCCCTAAAACAAAAACAAAATTACAGTGCGCATGCAGTATCCTTGGCAGTACTGGCTTGTCCTCCTCCACATGATAGTCAGCTATGAAAGAGTGCTGCTGCCTGCCCGTCCTCCAAAGCAAAACTCTCACGACGAACCAGGCTTCGCGAACGCATCTGTCTTGTCAATCGCGAGGGATCTGAATGGAGGACAGAATGCTGCCGTATGGATAGCAGCTTTGGCTGCTGGTGCTGCCACAAGCAGCAATTCCCTTCCAGAAAACCGCGTGACGTCAAGGGCGAACTCTCGTCCACTGGGGACCACTTTTCCCGCATGTGACAATCACTGCAATTGGGATATCAAACTGGAAGTTGGGTCTCATTTCAAGCCGCAGATCCACTCAGAACTAACGGGATAACATGAAATACACGAAAGATAATTATTTTTAACCACAATCACATAGGGATTTATGAAATACAAGAAAAATTACATGAGCTTTACAGTTTTAGGCATTATAGATTCTTTAAAAATTTAAATGGTGTCTAATCTACGTTATAATATGAAATCATTCATTTCACAACATTCGGTATAATCGTAATATGCAATGTGAATATTCGGCATCTGTAAATTGTATGTATTCATAGAATTCATGCAGAGCTTAATTATGAATCTAAAATTCTCAGGAGATGTTTTCAGAAAAAAAACAAATGCATGCTACATGTAGACTATCTTTCCTTGTATACATTTACATCCAATACAGTGTCATGCAGGCTTATAATTTCTCGGAGGACTCAGTAATGATTCCGTCTACTGACGTGTCATTCAACACGAAGCGCCCGTCTGCGAGGGTCATGTTCTGCGACTTTTCCCTCTGCCCATTGCCTATTTTCGTCAGGTGAACACAGTCTGCCGCTTCATCAGGTGTCGCTGCGATCAGAGACATGGAGCCGCGCATCACCCTTGCATGCCCGTAGTTTGCCCTCCCGTACCAAATGTCACGGTATGTTCCCGTGGTTCCTGACCGCGACTCGGGAGGCACGCCTCCCAGACCACCTCAATATTCCCTCCCTGTCATTCGTGGAAGACGGATGCCAAACCTCTTGATTTTTGCTTGGCTTGACCGAGAAGCGCATAATTCGGGTAACGCACTCAACCACGAGTTTTCTGTTACGTTCCAGCTGCCCGCACTGCTTCCCAGACCTCTGCCGAAGCTTGCCGCAGGCCTGACCTGACTGACTGCGCGTCTCGTCCATCACCCACACCTCCCGCCCTTCACGCCCCTCTGCTCGGTTTGCCGCGCCCAGCACACCACAGCCAAGCCCAGGGCGTCTCACCTCACCTGCTGTCTCCCTCGCCCCAAGGTGACTTCCTCGGCTCGGCAGCGCGGCAAACTTGGCTGCTGCCCGTTTGCTTCCCTGCTGCACCCTGGGCAGAGGGGGAGGATGGCGGATTTCAGGCCCACCCACCCAAACCCATCAAACCTCACTCCACCCTCTGGAAATCCTTTTGAAGCCCCTCAACCCATACCGTCCTAAAGTCCAGGTCCAGCAGTTCGCTTCGCGTTTCTACACTATCCCCAGTCGAGGCTCTTCTTGTACCGTGGTAGTCAACTTCTTCTGACTGCTCTTCAAAACCTTCAGTTGCTGCGAACTCTAGTTCATTACCATTGTCTTCACGTACACACAGCATCTCGCTGTGCAGCTTCCGTAGCGTTTCTGAGAGGAGCTCCTCCTCCTCTATTTTATTTGTCTTCACAGATTCTTTCCTCTTGTTACCTTTCTCGAATCACGAACGTCGCAATCGATGCGATCTAGACCACAGCCTCTCGAAGCCATGTCGCCGTTCTCTCGGTCCTCGTGTGTGGCTCTACTCGGACTGCTGCTTCTCCTAGGATCCGCTTGTCACGCGCAAAAAGTCGTCAGGCTCGGATTTCTGTTGCCGTATCCCGAGGGCGACAGCGCGGTTCCAGAAAGGCTAGCCAATGAATGGTGAGAACTCTCCTCCTGACGTACAAATCTCTCTGACTTGGAATCTCATTTCACGCACCGCCTGGCTTCTATTGCGTGTTCGGTCTCAGCCACGCCGACGTGACTGTCAAGCGCAACTGGGTGACCGGATGAACCGCCCGTCACGACTCGGAGTCATTAATTCTAATTCGTTTCACCCATTGATTTCTCTTACGCTTTAAACCTTGCAGGATTTCGGCGGTTCGCGTCGCCATGGAGGTGCTGGCTCCCGACTACGAGGGCGCGTTCCTCGTCGAGCCGTTCGTGAAGAACTCGAGGTGTAACAGCACCGCTGCTGCCGAAGCTGCCACGGTTCGTCCACTTTGCCACAGTACCATTCTTATTATATACAAGAGCGAGCACAGAGTGATAGAAGTGCAACAGCGTCGCCGCTGCCGTCCCTGCCGTGCCGCCGTCTATTTCCATGGAGTTAAAAAGTTTATGCATTTGTGAAGGGAAAGAAATAAATAAACAAAGTGACAGACAGTGTTGCGGCGCTTACTGTTCTGCCCTACGGGTCGAACGGATCATTCACTTGAGCATGACGCTCTGGTGTCTGATACCTTGGCTCCTGGCGACGCGCACATCTCATCTCCCTACGCGGCCACTGTAATTTTGAGAAGAGCGTCTCTCTTTTGTGCATAGTGTCTGCTTTCACGCACTGCGTCGCAAGAGCTGCTGGCGGGCGAAGAGATAGGCATGTTAGAGCCAGCATGCTTTCGTCTCTATTCTCAATCCCTGTTCACCTCCCTCTGCTATATCAGGAGCTGGTAGCGGGTGGAGTAATGGGCGTGGTGGGGCCGGCATGCTCCGAGGCGGTCGCGGGAGCCAACACGGTTTTCAAGGAAGCCGGGATTCCGTTCATCTCGTTTGCCGCCACTGCTGACGCCTTCGCCGATGACGTGGCGTTCCCCACGTTCTTCCGCACGGTGTACGCGGACCAGCACCAGGCGCGCGCCATGATCTCAGTGGTGCGTTACAAGCAGCTCATTTAAATTCCGTTTTTCTCGTGATGAATAACGCCACCCCGCTACTATGACGCGTAGCCACACAGAGACTTACTTTTTGTATCCCTGGTTCACCTGGATTTCTTCATTTCTCCTGATTTTTATTTTATTTTATTTTATGGTTGTTAATTGCTATTTCTCTTGTCGTATTGTGCAGATCAAGTACTTCAACTTCAAGCAGGTCAACCTCTTCCACTCCGCCGAGCTCTACGGCAGATCGCTGTCGGGTGTGCTCAAGGTATGTCGTGTCTTTTTTCATTCAGCCTCATTAATTCATTCATGGTTGACGGGCAGCACGGGGCGAGACATAGCGTTGATCAGCTTCGATATCCTGCGTTCTTGCTACTTTTTCACATGTTGTGTCGTGTGATATCTGTTTGGTCATCGTTCAGAGAGCCCTGGGCGACGCGGCGACGCAGATCGAGATCGCGTATCCGGGGACGGACAACCCTGTGGATTACGAGCCTTACTTTGACGGCGTGAAGTTTAACGAGGGCACCATCAACGTGTTCATCACTCTACCCAACGTCGCCGAGAACCTCTGGAAGGCCGCCTACAACCTGGTGAGCGCCAATGATGATTTCTGTAGTTAAAATCTGTTTCGCTTTGGAATATCCCAGCGGAAACGGGTCGTCAAGCTTGACGACCTGTTGACGACTTGACGACATGCTCCCCCGGGCGGACTCGCTTGTCCGCTGAGATATACTCGGAGGTAGCGCACAATCCGACCAATAGATCCGCGGAACTAACCGCGCGAGTCTGGTCGTTTGCCGGAACCACACCAATAATCTGTGCCCATTTTATGGATTGTAGAATTACACCCTACTATTGCCAGGCTATTTTGTGAACCCTATTACCTCTCACCTCATGACTATTAACCCTTTTTTTACTTTTGTCTCCTCTCTTCCCTGCCCGCAGAACTACACTAAGTTCCCGTGGTGGTACCTTGGATCCGACGGCGCTGTTGCGTTCGATCTGGTGACAGACGGTGATGAGCTCAACCACCTGACGCACGCGCTGCAGGGCGAGATGGGCGTCGCGCCTTACAGTGAGTTTTCTTTCAACCCCCATCTCCCCCGCAATCGATCGGTCATACGAAAATGCACGTTGTGCGAGAATAACCCAGCTGATTATACACTTCCAACCTGAATTTTCTGCATGCGGAGGGTACTTACAGCACGGAGTCACACATCTAATTGAAAATCTCGTTCTTACCTTTCAATTTCCCCACTGCAGAGGGTAACTACAACCCGCGCAACTCCCCCTTCGTGCGGTTCATGGACTTCTGGAAGGAGAAGTCGCACGAAACCTACCCCGGCCTGCTCAGTCTCGACGTGTCGCCCCGGGTGAGTTACATTCTTACTTGCGATCCCTTGAATTTGCCTGCACATGTTTCCTGTCCAGCATGTCACATGAAGCTCAATGTTTGCATGAAGATCATTTTCCTCTGCCTAATGTCCCTCCCTTCCCATCTCTCGCCTTGTTTGTTTTCTCCAGTACACGGAAGCGCGTGCGTACGTCACCAACCTGGTGGATGCCATCTGGGCGTTCTACCAGGCGTTCAACCACATAATCTCTGTCAACAGTGAGTGTTTTCAGCAACTTTGTAGCCTTGATTCTTAAGCCAAGAGATATGAGACGTTTCAGACACAATTGTCCTTCGTCTCTGTCTGACACCCCTGTGATTCTCACTCTCTCCCTCACTCTATGACTCTCGCTCTCCTTCCTGTAGAGGATGATGTGACGTCAGCGGCAGTGGTTGACTGTTTCAAGGACAAGCCGTCTGGGTGTCTCCGTTTCAATGGAGCGTCAGGCACCATGTCTTTCAACAATGTGACTGGAGAGCGGGATTCGGAGGCTCAGACGCCCGAGTATGGTTTTTACAACCTCATTGACCAGACGTGGAAGGAGAAGAGCAAGTGGGTGCTGAACCAGAAGGACATCAACCCGAACCTGCAGTATGTGCTTCGGCCCGGACCTCTGCCAGCGGGTTGGAGGGACAATTTGACGCTTCAGATGGAGGCCCCTCAGGCGATCATCCCCAAGATGTCGGAGATTGGCGTCGCCGTTACGTACAACCAGATGGAGGTAAGATAAGGCGTTTCCAATCGATGAAGTTCTGCCATGCAGTGCAATGAAGCATCACAGCCACATCACAATATCCAGCCTTGCATCATGCATGACAATGCCACCCAACTGATGTTTTTTTTCTCCTTCAACGCTGGCTGCCTGTCCTGCAGGCAACCAAGAATGCGCAGAGCGCTAGTGCCAGCAGCGGCAGCAGCAGCAGCGCGGCCAACGCGGGAGCGATCGTGGGGCTGGTGCTGGTGGTGCTGGTGGTGGTGTGCTTCCTGTCCTACTCCGCCTTCTTCCTCTACAAGCGTTACAAGCGCCACCCAGAGCACCAACAGTTTGTGCGCATGTTGTAGAGTTATTTTCGTGTAGCTAGTTAAGTTTTTAGTTTCAGTGCACAAGTAAACAAGGTCGAACCCCATTAGTCGAGGAAGTTATACATGGGGTTCTTCCAGTAGCTAGGATATGCACGTGCAGGAAAGCAGCGTTTTGGCACTACTTTGTTTTCAAAGCAAGAGGATGGTTCTGACAGTTACATAGCATCTCGTTGAGAACATTATGATTTCAGCTGCTGCTATGAAAGACATGTTCCAAATGCTGCTCGACCATGTGCCCTTCACGTGCCAATCTTCAATCAATTATCAGTGGCAGTACGAACGAAAGCGCTCATTCCGACGCCATCATCAATATAGAGAATAGGACTTCAGACGACTTACCGTATCGTTCTCATATATCGTTCTCATACACAAGGAGAATAATACAGAACAGAAAACCACAGTATTAAGGACCAAGCTCAGATGTCATGGCTTAACAGTGCCTAAACTCCAACTGACACAGGTTGCGGGTTGTTAATTCCTCCCAGGAACGACATGTAGCTGCCAGGTGCAGGGCCTTGGTCAATGAACAGATCATCAGGCACTCTCAGGGAAGCATGGACGGCGATCGCGACGAGTCCTAGTGTCACGCCCGACATAAGGACGGACCCAACTTTTGTCAGGCCGAAGATCACCAGAACTGAGATCGCGATCATGCCCAGTAACTTCTCGGTTTCGCTCAACACCCTTCCTCCTATCACCAGCGGCTGCGAATGGATCATGAAGAGATAGACCCAGGCCGCACCCAGAATTCCAAGCCAGAAGATGGAGACAGGGTTCCAGAGGATGCTGAGAGCGACCATTCCGAGAATAATAGCGAGATAGTTGGCCTTAAAGTACACGATGTTCTTCCGGATCCTGCTGACTGCATCGTTGAAACCGTCAGGCTTGGCAATCTGAGACCGGTCTGCTACTTCAGACCAAGGACGTTGCTGAGCGATCGCTGCTTGAAAAGACTCGGAAACTTTGGCTAGAGAAGCCTTCACAGCCGCAACCTGCGGATTCACGTAAGCTCCCTCGGCACCTTCGACGACGACTTGTGGTTCAGGGGCCATGCCTTCAGAGCAAGACAGAATCGGCCGAAATTTGCACAAACCTACAACCTCTTTGAGATGACCGCGCTGACTTACTACTAGTAAGAGACGAAGGAAGAGGGATCTTAGACTTGGATGAAACAACTGAAGTCGACAATGGAACAAAGTTTAAACCGAGGGAAATGCAGAATGCAGCAGAGAATCCAACAATTTTGAGTTCCAGGGAGGTTGAATTTTGAGGTGCAAGGAGGCACTCTGGCAAGGAGGCACACACTGGACTGGAAGCAGAAGGATTGTTGAGGCACGCTATGTACTGGAAGTACTGGATAGTAGGTGAAGCTGGTTCGGCAGGGGAGGGCAGTTTGTGACGTTCGGTGGTTGCTGATTTGGCAGCTGAAGTCGGCGGGATGACCGTTTCGGTGCGGTCAGCCTAGGTGCACCGATGTCCGGCGAAGCTTTGGCGGGAAACCGGACCTCGGGTTCTGGTTTGCCTTACGTAGAGGGAAGGTCTGTGCCCGAAAAAGCACATTAGTTACCATGACAAGCGTACTAGCTGCGAACTGCATCACTGGTCAGCTGGGATTGGCGAAGAGTTCCAAGACTCGAGCGTCGTCCATCTCTGGTGACTGGTCCATACCGGGAGCTCCACGGCACGCAGTGCCGTGCTAGCGGGGAAGCGGAAGGAATTTCGTGGTACGTGAACTTACTAAAACATATGAGGACGCGCCCTCGGGGGCTCAGTGTATGCCTGGTCTTTCACGTTGAAACTGAACCGAGTGGTAGAATTTAAACGAAAAGCGAGGTATTTATCTTCGGTAACAAGCGCTCTAGTACGATCTCAATCGTTTATTTTTAGTTTTTGGAGGGCCTCAACCTCAACTATGCACTGATGTGAACTGGGTTCAACATCGACACATCAGAACGAGTCATGGAGAACCTTGTTGAGGAACCCTATCTCTCGTTATCGCTCACAAACCCAATTAACCGATCGGTGTGTTTCCTCAACCCGTTATGATGGCCAGAGCCTTACCTGAACCACAATTCTAGCATCACATGCCATTATCCTTCCTTAGCGGAATATTCGATCGCCACGGTTAGCGCCGCGCGTTATTTTTAAGAGATATCGTGCAACTTACGGTTGAAACTTTGTCCTTTGCAAAGTTTCCGCAATGGCGGAACTTCGAGCGCAGAACGCCCCGCCAACACCCGCGGAAACTTTAGAGGGCGAACTTACACTCCCCGCTATGGCGGAGCTGGCGCAAGCCGCGGGTTTCTCATCCGCGCAAGCTCCGCGCACGCTGTGCTCTCAGTGTCAGCAGGACCCTGCCAAGTACAGGTGTCCTGGCTGTAGTGCTGCCACGTGTAGCGTGCCGTGCGTTAAGGCGCACAAGGCGGCGAGCGGATGCACGGGGAAGCGCAATCGCGCGGAATTTGTTCCTATAGGAAAGTTCGACGACAACCAGCTTGTGTCAGGTGTGACTTCAAAGAAAGGATAATCCAACCATGACCGAGATGTGCATACATCAAGGGTTCTGCTGCAGTGTCACTTCTCGCAGCGCCACAGTACGATTCTATCTTAAGCTCGTTATATCGGCGACAATAAGAGGAACTTGCTGCGCCATTTCGCCTTGTGGCCAAACCCCAGAACCCGAGAGTAAACCCCGCGAAACCCCGCGAAAACCTTGAACCCCAGTTACAAAAAGAGATTCGTTTGCTTTTTCTGATGCGGCAGCACCAGCCAATTCACCTTTCAACATGTATCAAATGGGGCTTAGACCTCAACTCTTAAAACCCTACATTCCTTGATGCTGTTTCGTTCTTCTCCTCTCAGTCCCCTGTCCCTCTGCTTACACCCCTACTTTCCATACCGTCCCTGCCTTCCCTGCTGCCCTTACCATCCCTGGTGCCCGTGCCACCTCTCCTGCCGCCACCAGACCTGCGTTTCCTGGAAGATGCGTTGCTGCAGTATGACGTGGCGAAGCGCACTCGCACTGCTCTAGGGGTCCGCTACGAGGCACAGGTAGGAAGCAGCATGGAAGGTTCCTTGTCTCTCAAGCAAGTATGAGCTGCTGAGGAAGTCGCTCAGTGAAGTATGTGTACCTGAAAACGTCTCTAAATCAACTATGGGTAGCTAAGAACGAGAAGATGCGTACTTGCCATGCCACCATGAGGCACACACAGAAGCTCACAACCGCGCTCTGACTGACAGCGTTCGTAATTTTTGAAGAATGCTCTTACCTTCTCAACCGTTCTCGTGCACCTTCAACCGTTCTCTAACCCCTCGAAACGAGCACCAGGGGGACGAATGCAGCAGACGGCGAGACAGAGGGCCGTGCAGCTGCTACCGTTGCCCCCTTTAACCGTTCTCAACTTTATTCAACCGTTCTCCACCTCCATACCAGGTGGGAAAGCATTGGGGCCGAATGCAGCAGACAGCCAGGCAGAGGGGCGTGCAGCTGCTGCTGATGCCACCAGGCATGTCCAAACGGAAGGCCAACCGAACCTACTTCCAACACAGGTGTGTGCAGCAAACACAAGAGGCATGCTAATTCTGATGCCACCAGGCCAGGCATATGCAGCTGCAGCAGACAGCCAAGCAAAGGGGGTGCGCAGCTGCTGCTGATGCTGCCAGGCATGTCCAAACACAAGGCCAACCGCACCTACTTTCAGCACAGGTGTGTGTTGCAACCACAACAGGTATGCTACCAATTGTGCCCTCCTTTCAGCTGCTGCTGATGCTGCCAGGCATGTCCAAACACAAGGCCAACCGCACCTACTTTCAGCACAGGTGTGTGTTGCAACCACAACAGGTATGCTACCAATTGTGCCCTCCTTTCAGCTGCTGCTGATGCTGCCAGGCATGTCCAAACACAAGGCCAACCGCACCTACTTTCAGCACAGGTGTGTGTTGCAACCACAACAGGTATGCTACCAAACGTGCCCTCCTTTCAGCTGCTGCTGATGCCGCCAGGCATGTCCAAACGGAAGGCCAACCGAACCTACTTCCAACACAGGTGTGTGCAGCAAACACAAGAGGCATGCTAATGCTGATGCCACCAGGCCAGGCATATGCAGCTGCAGCAGACAGCCAAGCAAAGGGGTGTGCAGCTGCTGCTGATGCCGCCAGGAATGTCCAAGCGCAAGGCCAACCGAACCTACTTTCAACACAGGTGTGTGCTGCAATGACAATAGGTACCATCTGTCTTGCTGCTGTTGATGCTCCTGATGCAGCAGAGGGGCGTGCAGCTGCTGCTGATGCCGCCAGGCATGTCCAAGCGCAAGGCCAACCGAACCTACTTTCAGCACAGGAACCGCTCTGAACCCCCGCACACCTACACCCACACTCACCCCACACAATCCAATTCATCCATATAATGTCTTGGCATTGAGCTGCTGCTGATGCCACCAGGCATGTTCAAACGCAAGGCCAACCGAACGTACTTTCAGCACAGGTATGTGTTGCAACCACAACAGGCACCCCCTGTCTTGCTACTGCTGATGCTGGTGATGCTGGTGATGCTGGTCAGAGCACAAGGCCGACTGAACCTGGTTTCGGCACAGGTGCGGTGCGGTCCAGAGCCTGTGAAACCCCAGAACCTTTTTTTATTCACAAACATACCCATTTTCCCCCTCGCTTGCCCGCTCTCCTCCTCTCCCTCTCTTGCTGTGTTGCCTTCTCATTTGGCCCGGCAGCTTTATGCTGGTCCCAGCATCAACAGCCGCATGCATGCTATTAACCTGTGCTTCTGTGTGGACATGGGCATGTTGGTGCATGTGCTCACCACGGGAAGCGATGCATCATGTGGCATGTACGATGGCAGTTTGCATTCAGGTCCATTAGCATGAATGCTAATGTGTATATGTGTGTATCTGTGAATTTTTATCCACACTGCATTGCAGGAAGCGGTGCATCATGTGGCATGTGCGGTGGCAGTTTGCAATCCGGTCCATTCGCATGGATGAGAACAACAACAGCTGCATGCATGCTAATGCGTATATGTGTGTATGTGTGTATGTGTGTATGTGTGTATGTGTGTATGTGTGTATGTGTGTATGTGTGTATGTGTGTATGTGTGTATGTGTGTATGTGTATTCCTGTGCGCATTGCAGGAAGCGGTGCATCATGTGGCATGTGCGATGGCAGTTTGCAATCAGGTCCATCTGCATTGATGAGAACACAAGGGGAGCCCCCGCATCCATGCATGCTCAAGGGAGCTGCAGGGATGCCAATGTCGAGAGCCGTGTAAATGCCAATGCCAGCACAACTTCCTCGCTTTCAACATTCCTTCTGCCACACACGATAGATTCAATGTGAGTCCTTGAAAATTATAGATAACACAAGGGGAGCTCCTGCAGCCATGCATGCTACAAGGAGCTGCAGGGTTGCCAATGACGAGAGCCGTGTAATTGCCAATGCCAGCACAACCGCCTCGCTTTCAACGTTCCTTCTGCCACACACGATAGATTCAATGTGAGTCTTTTAGAGAGAGGGAGAAAAAAAAAGGAAGCCCAACCCCCGAACACATCACCTCTCTCAACGTTCCTTCTGCCGCAGACAATAGATTCAATGCGAGCCAGGAGGAGGAGAAGCGCAACGCAAGGTGAGCAAGGTAAACCGACATGCTTAAGCTTTCTACAACACTGCTGCCCTTCTATCTATGAGTTTGGATGCAAGGTAAACCGACATGTTTTCATCGGAATTCAGACATTCCGCAAGGCGCAACGCGGAACGTCTTCTACCACTCATTCTGAGTTCAGTGCGTCGGCTCTCGAGGGTCCTCGAGAACAAGGTCAACCGACATGTTTTCATCAGTCATTTTGAGTCAACTATCTCTGTTCTACTACCTACAGGCTTGCATGTTGGGAGCATTTACAGTCTTGTCATCTCCTCCTCCTGCCTTTGGAAATGAAATCCGATAACTTCGCCTAGGGAATCTAGTGTGTTTCCCTTTGAGGTACTTTCCTGTCTCATGCAAAACTAGACGTCTCAAAACTCGACGTCTCAAAACTCGACGTCTCAAAACTAGACGTTGTTAGAATTCCCATGTCCACCCGCCGTCGCCCATCATGGCCAACACCCCTCCTGTTCCTCTCCCCCCTCCTATCGACGCCTCTTCGGTTGACAAGCTGCAGCTTGCTGCAGATCGCTCCGCCATCAACTGGCACTCGTTCGTCGGCAGCATTCGCCGCGTCCTTCAAGACGCCTTCGTCGGACCCTACTGCGTCCTTGACGTTCTCCTTCGCCGTCCGCAGGCTCTCCAACCGACCGCACCCAATCACCCTGGCGAACCTCCTCCCCTCCCCCCCCCACCCTGGCCCCCCTCCTCCTAAGCCTAACCTGACCGTGGCTGCTACCCCCGAGCTTCAGGCTGCTGCGGACGCCACCTTCCTCCACAACCGCAAGGCCGACCATGACGTTGCTCTCCTCAACTATGAATTTGCCTCATCAGAGCGTTCCACTCACCTGGAGTTGATTGCGGAGTACAACACCTCCATGGCGGCTTATGTCCCCAACAGCATCGCCTGGGCCGCTGCCGACAACCGCACTTGCACCATCCTCCTTGGTGCTCTCCCTGACGCCCTTATGTGCCGCTTCCAAGCTCGCGAGATGCGCGCTCACTTAATTTGGACAGAGCTCCAGTCTATGTTTGAGCGTCGCGACATCAGCTCTGTTGGCGTTCTATTCCAGGAGTATTTCTCCATCACCCTTGCCACCTGCGACGGCGCAGTCGACTATGTCGGGCGCATGCAGGAGGTTGCCGATCGCCTTGCCGCTCGCCAGGCTGCCCCTTCCGAGCCCCTGCAGATCCACCGTCTGCTCTTCAACCTCACGCCAGACTATGAGTCCCGCCTTCACGCCTTCACCGAGGCAAACCCCTTGGCTGGCCTCCTCGAAGTGACGCAGTGGATCATTGACACGGAGGTCAAGCTCCGCACCCCCATTGTCAACCTCACCACCACTCACTCCTCCTCCGCCTCCCTCAATGCCACGCAACCGCGCACTCAGGGTGGTCGCAACGGCGGTAGCGGGGGTCGTGGAGGGGGTGGAGGTGGCAGTCGGGGTAGTGGCCGTGGTGGCCGTGGTGGTAATGGAGGTGGTGGTGGTCCTAGTGGCCCCGCTCCCGGAGGCTCCTCTAGTGCTGGTGGAGCTGTGAGCCGTGGTGGTGGTCGCCCTGGGACTCTTCCCCCCTGCACGTATGTTCGCCGCCATGGTCCCCACGCCGGCACGCCGTGTGGTCAGACCAACCACCCCCCTGCCATCTGCTTCAAGGCGCTTGATGACGCCTGGTTCGACCGCGGCAACACTGGTACCCCTCCTCGCTGGAACAGTGTTACCCCTCGCCCCTCCCTCGTGGACATTCAAACCCTCCCCTCCTTCCTCCCCTCTCACCTTCGTCTACTCACCCCTTCCCCCCCCTCCCAGCTCCAGCAGTTTCAGCAGCAGTAGCAGCAGTACTTCCCGCAGCAGCAGCAGCCGCAGTTTCATCAGCAGCAGCAGCCGCCGCTTTTTCAGCTGCAGCAGCCCCCACAGCAGCAGTTCTTCCAGCAGTAGCACCCGCCGCAGTACCTTCCGCCGCAGTGGCAGCAGCAGCCAATGACCTTCGGCGCAGCGGCCATGGCCGCTCATGCCTCCCTTGCTCCCCCCCCCTGGGGTTCCATTCCCTCTGCCCCCCCGAGCGTCCCTGACTCTCAGGGCAGTTTCCTTGGTCATGTTGCTGCTGCACCATCCGTCGCTTCCATGTATCCCTCTGCTATCAATGAAACGTCATTCCAGTACCCCGTGTCCCCTCCCCCTCCTTCCTCCCCCACCTTGGACTTTGTCCTTGACAGTGGGGCCACAGAAACCGCACTCAAAGACACTGGCACCCTCACCCCCCTCCCACTTCCCACCCAGGTTCATGGTGCTGACTCCAGCTTCTCCATCCCATGCACTCACCTCTCCACCCTCCCCTGCACCGCTTTCCCCTCCGGTAAAGTCACAGGTCTCCACATCCCTACCCTTCGCAACAACCTCCTCTCTCACCGAGAACTCCAAGGTGTCGGTATTACCGCCATTTACCCCGGCTTTGCCAATTACTGTGATCTCTAACAAACCTCCTCTGCTCGCTTTCTCCTGCGCATTCCCCTTTGCCCCCGCACTCGCCTTTACACGCTCCGCACACCCCGTCCCTCATTCTGTCATGTTACCACTCGTGCTGGTACTTCCACCGGTCCTCCTCCCCCTCTCCCTCCCCCTCAGGTATCCCCCTCCCTTGCTTCACTTCCCTCCTCCCTCCCCACTTTTTCCTCCACCCCCTCCCCCTCCTCCTCCACTGCCCTCTCCCACCCAGCAGTCATTCTGCATCACAGACTCGGCCATCCCAACTTCGCCGCACTTCGCACCACTGTCACCTCTCGCCTCCTTCACAGCCTCCCTCCCACCTTACCTCCCCTCCCCTCCTCTCCTGCTCCCCCATGCCCATCATGCATTCATGGCAAGCTTAAGCAATCCCCCCATCACAGCCATCCCACCTTTGCTGCCGCCCCCATTGACCTTGTCCACATGGATCTCTGGGGTCCCTATCCCATCCGCTCCCGTCAGGGGCACCGGTACATGCTCGTCCTCGTTGACGACCACAGTCGGTACTCCACTGTCTTTTTCCTCCACACCAAAGACCAGGTGCCGGCTGTTGTCATCAACTGAGCTGAGCAGTGCCGCAATCACTTCAAACGCCCCATTGGCCGCCTTCACTCTGACGGTGGGGGTGAGTTCATCAACAACACCCTTGCCACCTTCTGCAAACTTCATGGCATCCAGCAAACTTCCACCCTTCCCCACTCCCCTCAGCAAAATGTTATTGCTGATTGTCGCATCCGCGAAATCACCAAAATTGTACGTTGCCTCATTGCTCATGCCTCCACCCCTCCCTCCCTTTGGAGCTATGCCCTTCTCCATGTCGCCCTCCTCCTCAATCTCCGTTCCCACCCTCAGCATCCCTCCTCTTCCCCCACAGAACTCTGGTCTAAGGCCAAGCCTGACGCTGCCGGCCTTCGCGTTTGGGGCTGCAAGTCCTTCGTCCTCATCCCACCGGCCGATCGCTCCCGTGCTGCCGGCAAGCTCGCCCTCCGTGCCCTTGAGTGCGTCTACCTCGGGCACAATCGCGACTCCCCAGGCTACCTGTTCCTCCACCCTCCCACCAACCGCCTCATCCGTAGCATTGACGTTGTCTTCGACGAGTCCATCCCCTACTACTCCACTCCTCCTGACCCTCTCCCTCCTCCCTCTCGCCCCCTTGCCTGGACTGACACTGTCCTCTCCTCCCTCCCTCTCCTCTCCTCCCCCCCGCTGCCGCTCCACTCCCTCTGTCCTCCTCTGCTGACGTCTATGACCCCGCCGCACCCGCCTCCCCGGCCCACTCCGCTGCGCCCCCTCCCCCCTCTCCCTCCTCCTCTCACTCCCCCCCTTCTCTGCAACGGCCGGGCCAGCAGCAGCAGCAGCGGCAGCCGGGACAGCAGCAGGGACAGCAGCAGCCGGGTCAGCAGCAGCAGCAGCAGCAGCCGACTCAGCAGCAGGGGCAGCAGCAGCAAAAGAGGCAGGTCCAGCAGCAGCAACAGCAACGCCACCGGGCAACTTCACGCTCCTCCCCTTTCCTCCTCCCTCGCATTCACACTCGCTCCCTTGACAAGGTCTTTGGAGCCCCTCCTCCCGCCTCCATTCAGCTCCTTGAGGACTCCCATGCGGAGTTTCTCACCATTCGGCACCACACTCCTTTCCTTGCCTCCATCTTTCATGACTTCCTTGGCCTTCCCGTCCTTGGCGCCACCTCCACCCCCACCATCTTCACTCCCTCCACCTTTAAAGAGGCCATCGCCTGCCCTGATGCGGACAGGTGGATTGCGGCAATCTTCCTGGAGTGTGAGGCCTTCATTCGCAACGACTCCTTCGTTGATGTCCCCCTCTCGGCCGATGCCAACCTTGTCGAGGGCAAGTGGGACTTTCGGGTGAAGCAGCTGCCAGGCGAAGATCCGGTCTACGAGGCCCGCTATTGCGCTAAGGGGTTCACCTACGCCCCCACCGCCAAGCCGCCCACCCTCCGCACCCTCCTCGACGTTGGTGCGCGCGACGAAATGGAGATCTGTTCCATGGACGTCTCCAATGCGTTCCTGCAAGGGGACCTGCACGAGCGCATCTTCCTCCGGCGACCCCCCGGGTTCCACGCCGCCTTTCCAGAAAACACTATGTGGCAGTTGCGTAGACCTGTCTACGGTCTGAAGCAGGCACCTCGGGAGTGGCACGCGAAGCTGTCTGCCACCCTGGGATCCCTTGGCTTCTCTGCCTCGCATTCTGACGCCAGTCTCTTCCTTCGCTCCTCCCCTCGCCGCTTCTTCATTCTGGTGTATGTGGATGACTTGATCCTGCTCGCTGACTCCAAGACTGACATGGAGCAGATGAAGCAGCAGCTGCAGCAGCGCCTCAAGTGCAAGGACCTGGGCCACCTCATCCACTACCTTGGCATGGCTATCACTCGCGACCGTCCCGCTCGCACCATCACCCTCTCCCAGTCTCAAATAATCGGCCAGATCTTGGAGAAATTCGAGATGACTCAGGCCAGTCCCATAGCCACCCCCCTCCCTTTCGGCCACCAGCTTGCTCCACCCACCTCGCCCTCCTCTTCCTCTCACCCTTATGCTGAGCTCGTTGGGTCGCTGATGTTCGCTATGATGTGCACCCGTCCCGACCTCGCCTACCCCATCACCGTGCTCGCTCGTTTTGTTGGCCCTGGTCGCCAGACCGAGGTGCACTGGAAAGCTGCCAAGCGGGTCCTCCGCTACCTTCGCGGCACCAAGGACCACGCTCTCACTCTTGGTGGCTCCTCCCCTCCCTTCCTTTCGGGCTTTAGCGACTCCTCCTGGGCCGACTCGCAGCCTGTCCGCCGCTCCTCTCAAGGCTACGGCTTCACCCTTGGCAACGGCCTTGTTAGTTGGCGCTCCACACGCTCCTCCTCCGTTTCCCTCTCCTCCTGCGAGGCAGAGCTCTACGCTGGCACCATGGCCGCCCAGGAGTCCCGCTGGCTCTGCTTTCTTCTTGCTGAGCTTGGCGCCCCTCAGCCCTGCCCCACCCTCTGGTGTGACAACGCCAGCACCATCCACCTCACTCAGGTCCCTGTCTACCACGCCCGCTCCAAGCACATCAAACTACGCTACTTCTTCATCCGCGAGCTCGTCGAGCCCGGCCTTCTTGCTGTCCGCAAGATTGCTGCCGAGGCCAACTTGGCCGACATCTTCACCAAGGCTCTCCTTCGCCCTGCGCACTCTGCTCTCCTCCGCCTCATCGGTCTTGCTCGCCCGGGCGCCCCCTGATTTCAGGGGTTGCTCCCTTCCTGTGTTAGCCTGCTAAGGGGTTGTGTTAGAATTCCCATGTTCTAGCATGCTAACACTTGTGACTGTACACCGATTGTGGTGTACATTTGGGTTGAGACTACACCCAATTTTGGATGTAGTCTTGCATTTTGGGGTGTCAATCCAACCCAATTGTGGTGGAGCCCCCAAATGCAACCCTATGGGCCATAAGTTGCCCCACTTCACAAAGTGAGGCCAACCCAACCCAATGGGCCATAGGTTGGCCCACTCCCCCAAGTGTGGCAAACCCAACCCAATGGGCCATAGGTTGGCCCACTCCCCCAAGTGTGGCCAACCCAACCCAATGGGCCATAGGTTGGTCCACTCCCCCAATCCCACCTCCCTCCTTTCCCTTCCAACCCTCTCTTCCCAAAGCTATGTATGCTTGCCAATGTTCTAATCAAGTTAATTCTTCAATTTCCTTTCTTCACAGACGTCTCAAAACTCGACGTCTCAAAACTCGACGTCTCAAAACTAGACGTCTCTAAACTAGACGTCTCAAAACTGGACGTCTCAAAACTAGACGTCTCAAAACTAGACGTCTCAAAACTATACGTCTCAAAACTAGACGTCTCAAAACTAGACGTCTCAAAACTAGACGTCTCAAAACTAGACGACTCAAAACTAGACGACTCAAAACTAGACGTCTCAAAACTAGACGTCTCAAAACTAGACGTCTCACTCTTGTTCGGCCCCCTTTCTCGCCTTGATATGGCACCTCAAAAGTTGGCCCCCTTTCTCGCCCTGATATGGGGCCTCAAAAGTTGGCCCCCTTTCTCGCCTTGATATGGCGCCTAAAAAATTGGCCCCCTTTCTCGCCCCGATATGGCACCTCAAAAGTTGGCCCCCTTTCTCGCCCTGATATGGCGCCTCAAAAGTTGGCCCCCTTTCTCGCCTTGATATGGCGCCTCAAAAGTTGCCCCCCTTTCTCGCCTTGATATGGCGCCTCAAAATTTGGCCCCCTTTCTCGCCCTGATATGGCGCCTCAAAAGTTGGCCCCCTTTCTCGCCTTGATATGGCGCCTCAAAAGTTGCCCCCCTTTCTCGCCTTGATATGGCGCCTCAAAAG